CTTCCAATATCTGAAGGGGGCCTACAAGGATGCTGGGGAGGGACTCTTCATTAGGGACTCTAGTGGTAGGACAAGGGGTAATGGCTTTAAACTTAAACAGGGGAACTTTAGGTTAGATATAAGGAAGAAGTTCTTCACAGTGAGGGTGGTGAGGCACTGGAATAGGTTGCCCAAGGAAGTTGTGAGTGCTCCAACCCTCGAGGAGTTTAAGGCCAGCCTGGACAGAGCCTTGGGCAACATAGTTTAGTGTGTGGTGTCCCTGCTCATGGCAGGGGAGGTTGGAACTAGATGATCTTAAGGTCCTTTCCAACCTTAACTATTACATGATTCTATGATTCTATGCCCCATCCCTGCCAGTGTTCAAGGCCAGGTTGGACGGGGCTCGGAGCAACTTGGAAGGTGTCCCTGCCCATGGCAGAGGGTTGGAACTGGATGATCTTAAGGTCCTTTTCAACCCAAACCTTTCTATGATTCCCATGCTTGACCAACTCTGATCCAGTTTGGGCATTTCCCCTCTTACCTCTGCTTCAGATTGCCGGGCTTGTTCCTTCAGCCACTTCTCTTTCGCTGTCAGCTCCTTCAACAAGTTGTACAGATGGAACAAACTCTTGCCTTTCTCAAAGGACCCTGCCTGGAAGCAGACGAACTAGTGAAGGCCAGTAGCACTCTCTGGGTGCATGGGACCAGGTACGCTGCTATCAGGAATTGGCACAACTTTGCTATAGTCAATGTAGTGACACTGATTTCCATCACTGAAACATCTAACCCATGGGCAACATGTTATTAGACTTCATTTTGATTTTGAATCCATCGGCAACATGAGGCAGATGGCACGTCTTGCACTTTTAGATGGTTTTGCAAGGTTAGAGAAGAAAGGATGGCACTCCAGCAATTGTGTCCTGTGTATCCTCCCAAGTGGGAAATAGAAACTTCAAGAAAACTTGCTTAACATGAAAAAAATCCTGTATTTGTAATCTCTTTTATTTTCCTAAGTATAATTGTGCAGCATCACTACAGAATTTATGGTTACAGACTCACATCAATGATGTCAGTGAAGTGACCCCCCCCCAATGAGAGAATTTGGCTTAATGACAGTGCTCCACTTATTTCAGAACATCTTTTATTGAAGGCTATCTATCTATCTATCTATCTGTCTGTCTGTCTGTCTGTCTATCTATCTATCAGCAACACATTAAGCCTTAGCATCTTGCTCTGCATCTGCAGGGTAAACTTTGGAAGATAGAAGCAACAATGTGACCCAAGAAGTCCATGGCAGAAATGGATGGGATGTCTGGGATGTCTGTCTCTGCTTCTCTGCTGTACCTCTTCTTCAAGAGAACAGCAGAGGAAATTTTGGCTTCCCTGACATGAATCCATAGGACTGAGCCCAACAGCTGCTGAAACAGCACCTTGAAAGATCCCATTGCCTATGCTGCCTGATGACCAGGTCTAGCAAGATGACCTCAGGCATGGCCAGAGCAAGCCTTTCAGGCTACAGAATGTTGTACATTCCAGCATAACAGTGCATCTCCAGGGGAGTTTGTGCTGTCAGCCTGCAGACTGTGAGGGAGGTGTGCACATGGAGCAGAGGAGCAGCATGGAATAAGGCATGCTTGGAGTTCTTCCACTGACATTTCACCTTCCCTTTCTGTCTCATGCTCTAGAAAAAGTTTGATATAAGTAGTTTTCCTTCATACCTGGTATGTCATGCATGGTTCTGGGGTCATGAAGACTTTATGTCCTTTACTATCCCTCTCTGGCAGTTTGTGGAAAAGCTTCTTTGAGGCAGTAATGTATTTATCTTTGAGGTGGTATGTCAGATGGATGTCCTCCTCTGTGATCAGAAAGATACATTCTGCGACATCTTCATCAGCAGGCTTTTCTGGATTTCTGTGAAAACACTCCTTGATTTGCTAATGGGAGTGAAAAAAGAGAGATGGAAGCAGATTAGACAAAAAAACCTGTGAAGAAAAAAAAAAAGCTGAAGGGAAAAATTGGGCTTTTCTGACTGGATTACAATGGCATCTCTTGACCCATAGTCCTACTGTTCTTTCCTGTGCCTGAGTTAAAAAGCACAAAGCTGCTTAACCTAAAATGTTATTAGTTTGGGGTCAGAACATGAAATCATTCTAGTATTTTTGAGTCCTGTGAAAATCTTATTCCAAAATCATAGTCAAGCTTTTTTCCTTTCCTCTGACACACATTTGCCAAGTCTCAGTTTCCCAGTTTCATTCTAGCTGCTCAGTGCAGTTTGTGACAACTGGTCATACTGTAGCTCTCTGTTAGGCAAGCAGCCATGAGACACAACAGCTGAGCAAGGCTTGGATATCTCATCTGGAGCTTTGCCTTGGCTGTGCCCACTGAAAATGAACTTAGAGCCCTAGGCAGTATGCTCTGCACAGTATAAATATCACTATGACAGATATTCTTCTGTTCCTGCCTTGGCCATACCACGATAGGCTGGGAGTTAATGTCAGTTCTCTGTGCTTCCTCTCCTCGTTCGCCAAAGTTGATGTGCCGGAGGTAGAGGAAGTCATCCCGCCCCACAAAGTACTCTGTCATCTCACTAGCAGTTTCAACACGCTTCTGGAGGCCATCAACTCGTGCCTCACTGTAGAACTCCATTGTATGTCCAGTCTTGGGTTCCAGCGACGTACAGGTATGAGCTAAGGATGTTAGAGACATTAGCAGCCATCATATGGTGAACACAAGTGTGTCCAGAGGAAGTCTCATTTTCTTCAGCAGCAAATAAATCAAATGCACCCATGAGTGTAAGAAGGGAATTTTATCTCCTTACTGTTGTGTACCAACATGTCATGGCCTAAGGATGGCAGGACAGTTTTGCAGGGCCACTGCCTTCCTTACACAGTAAGGCAGTAGTGAGTGGAGCCTGGACCCTGCTTTTCCTAAACCACGAATGGGCACAGCCTCTGGATGAAATGCTGCTTGAGCAACAGATCCAACGCAGGACTCTCTCCCCCAGCTGCACAACACTGACAGACCAAAAGAGGGACTTTTTACATGGAAACTGGCTTTTGACAAGGGCTTGTAGGGACAGGACAAGGGGGACTGGCTTTAACCTCACAAAGGGGAGATTGAGAAGTTCTTGCCTGTGAGAGTGGTGAGGTGCTGGCACAGGTTGCCCAGAGAAGCTGTGGCTGCCCCATCCCTGGCAGTGTTCAAGGGCGGCTGGGACGGGGCTTGGAGCAACCTGCTCTAGAGGAAGGTGTCCCTGCCCATGGCACGGGGGTTGAAACTGGATGAGCTTTAAGGTCGCTTCCAACCCAACCCAGCCTGGGATTCTATAACCCTAAGGGGAAAGTTTCTACTTCTATCACCTCTACTGTAAAAAGTAAATGAGATCATCATATATATGTGATAGGTATGTATTTTTCTCCTGTTATGCTGGGGGAAGCACTCTCCAGGACTGGAAGCCAACAACCCAATTCTCTACTCTCTACTGGAGACTGTATTATTTATCTAGGCAATTCATCCCACAAGTTTTCTGCACCCCCAATATTGGGCTTTTACCACTGCTGGAAGGATCCACATGGAGTCCTACCAGCTGCAGTGGCTGCCAGGTAAGCTGGAATACCTTTAAGACAGAGGGAATGTCCTTTGCTGAAGTAGTCTGTGGTCAGCTGTGTTTGTTTATTCATTTCTCTCCTAACCAGCATGTCTTCTCGGTTTTCAAACCACTCTCTCACCTCCACTACATCAGTATCTGGCAGGAGAAAAAGCATTTCACAACCTCACATCACCCTGTTGGGAGGTGGTAAGATTCATCTGATGCACTCTCAGTGTATGTGCAAGCTCCCTAGTAGTCAGCTCAGGGGGAGAAGGTGGCATATCACATAGCTACGTTTAGGCAAGAGAAATCCCATCCCAAATACTTTATGGGAAGGGAAATAAGATGGGGACATTACACTGTCCAAAAGGACTGAGGACAGGACACTGAATGTCCAGCTAGGAATCTATACTGTTTCTCAGACCAAAGAATAATGCTGCCGAGTACAGAAATATCCACAGTCTGGGTATTTCGATTCTGTGCCCACGTAAAGGGCACAACTGCCACTTTCTATGGCTTCTATCAGCACCAGTGGGAACAGCGATACTACTAGATCAAATCAAACCAGCCTTCCGTTCCTCTGAAGACTGAAAATACAAGCAGCTGACCTGTGGCACTGCACAGCCTCACCAATGGGATATAAAAAAGACTCAAAACTCTCGCAGGAACCCCTAGCAATGCTGGAGAGTTCCGGGGCTTGACAGCCTGATGAAGCGTTTGAAAATGCAGTAGATAGTTCCCCCCAAATGTGAAAGGAGGATGAGAAAGCACAAGAGAGACCCTGGAAGAAAGGTGACATCCTCCCACTTCCCACCAGCAGCACCCAGCTGTGTCTCCTCAGTTGTTGACCCACCCCTCTTACAGTCTGGCTTTGCGTAGATGGTGAGGCGCTGCACCAGCCCATTGCCATTCAGGTATGGTGCCCATTTCTCTAGTTTTGCTTTGTTGTACAGAGTCACCTTCTTCCCCTGGCAATAGCGGGTCTCAAACTCTACAGTGGGAGATAGAGGTATCATAAAGATTTACTTCCTTGTATTCAGCCAAAGGAAAAAGAATTCAAGGGGGAGCAAACCACCGTCTAAGGGAAGACATGCATTTATTGATTACATTTAGCTGCCAGCAAAGCTGTTCAGATCCTGCCTTAATGCTATAATAGTATAATAACTCTTTTCTCTCCCAAAGCAGGTATTTGATAATGTAGGGGCATAACTGGAACAGAAAGTCCACCCCAGGCAAAATCATCCAGCTGGCAGGAAAACACCGTGTGAGTGTCTGTGCAAGGGGAGTTTTGGGGGGTTCCCGCCCAGGATGAGGCAGTGCACCAAGGGCAAGCATTCAACCTAACAACTGTTGCTGCTTCCCTCTGCTGCACTTCACTGCTGTTCCTTGTCTGTCTGGAAGGGGGAACTCTTGAGCCAGACAAATACCCCAAATCCACTAGAAGTCACTGGGGGCAAAGCAAAAAGCAAAAAGAATACATACCTCTGGGAGGTATCCGAATTGGAGCTACCCACGATGGTGGCATGTCAAAACTCACTCTCTTCTCTCTTCCCTGATGACACAGAAGCAGAGATTTGCATTTCTGGCACCTTCACTTATTGTGCCAGGAGACCTTTTGGTGCAGTGACGAGAGCTCAGAGTCAGCCCAGGAACGCGGTGGCACAGCTATGAGAACTGTGTTGGTCACACACAGCCCGAGGACAGAGGCAAGCAGCACACTGCAGTTTACATGAAAGGAGAGCTTTACCGCATCCTCACACTCTCACTAGCACATCCCTACTCCAGACTAATGGAATTACCTTCTCCCGGCTAATGCTCCTGCTGGACAGGGAATGAATAGGACACTCAGCATTCAAACTCATGACCAATTTATGTAGACCGTGGAGGTCGCTTTGCTCCCCAGTTGTGGGCACAGGCTGAGAAGGGCAGATAACAGGAAGGAACATGCTTTTATTGGTGTTCCTCTGTCCTGGCATACTGGTGCAGTGCCTGTTTTATCATGCTGTCTTCTCCCAACAGGACAACATACCATCTTTTGCTTCCACTACCCAGCATTTTTTTGTGTATTAGAGTACATACATTGTTTCTGCACTTGGCTGGCAACTCCACCTAGCAGCCAGGAGGGCTGGGTGCTGACCAGCAGGGCAAGAGTGTCCAGGAAAATGTCTGGTTTGACTTTCTTTCTTTATCGATTTCATCCCAAAGGTCAATGTACTGGAAGCCTACAGAGATCCCAAGCCACTGAGGACACCAGAAGTACCACTCAGAGTCCTGCTTCAAAAAGCATTAGAACTATGCATATTAGAACTATTGAGAAGGAATCTAAAGTGCCAGCCAAAACCCAGCTGGAGTAATAGTGACCTGACGTGGAGAGGGCAGCAGGCAGGCAGACATATGTGGGCCTATGAGCATACCAGTTCGATAGAGCATCCCCACTGCACAAGAGCCATTTGGCTCACTCACCGTGTCACTGTCAAATAACTCTTCTTCCTCCTCAGGGAGCAGCTGAAGAGGGTTGCTCTCTGAAAGCATGATTTCCCAGCGGATAGCATCACTCAAGTCAAAGGTGAGATCCTAGGCCATACAGAAGAAACCCACGTAGCTACAGGGCACTAAACTGAAGGCTGCCTCTGCATGCCTGCAGTGCTCTGGACCTGGCTGGCTGTCAGGTTATGAAGGACAGACCTTTATAGCCCACAAGCTACGAAGAACAGAGCTTGCATCATACTGAGGTGGGTGTCAGACCCACGGGTGGTTGGCAGGATCCCAAAGACTGTCCCTGTGTCTAAAGGGCTGCAGACCCCTTTCCTCATGATGCCTCTGCCACAGATGAATGCAAGTTGCTGGAAGTGCTTCTGCCCTCCTTCCTTGGGGCACGCATGGCCCCACAGTTAAGTTGCTCTAAGTCAGACTCTTGCCTTGCAGACTTTCTATCAGCTGGGGAGTAGCTGAGGTGTGGGAAGAACCTAATCAAGATCTTTCCTGATGGGCTCAAAACATCCTCTGCCTTAAAAGCTGTTGTTTGAGAGAATGAGCTTCCAGCCAGCCTTTAAAAACTGACATTCTAGCACTCTAGGGGTTTAATACGTGTGATCCATATTTGCTAGCTCGGGGTCTGGGATGTCCTGGAGTAGTTCAGAGTCTATGTCATCACAGCAATATGACCAGAGCCAACACAAGGAATGGTTACGTGGATGTGGGATCACAACTGGTCTTGGACTTCCCCAGGACTCTGGTTAGCCCAACTCTCCCTCCCAGACATGGGGTGCTAAAGGGCTCATTACCTTGCAGCCGAGCCTGCAGTCCTGCATGTTCACCCAGTAGTTCCTGTGGTTCCAGACGCTCTCGATCCCAAGGAAGCATTTATCTGTCGTATTGTGTCTGTTTCCCGTGAAGGGGTTGATGAAGAAGGTCTCAGGAACCTCCCTCTTCCCAGACAGAACCAAAACCCATGCATGCACCCGCAAGCCATGCAAAGGTTCAGGCTTGGGTTTTCCCACTACCTGTAGCACAGAGGACAGAGCGGTAATTACTGCCATTTTATTGCTACTTAGTCCAACCCAATGGCAATCTTATTCTCTTCTCCAGCCAATTCCAAAGGTCTCCAGGCCCTTAACACTCTTCTGAAGAGTGAGGTAGCACATCCTTAGTACCTACTGCTGTGCCAGCACGCACTGTGTTCCCAGAGACCAAGTACTCATCGCCATGCTCAGGGCATGCTTCACAGCGGAGGGCAGTGAGCTCTTTTCTTTGGTCAGCCATTCCCTGTGTCTCATCTCTTGACCCTGGAGTTTACAGTGAGGTGGACCTTGCTAACTCACCTTCTCATCTCTTTCCTTGTCCTTCTGAGCAGCTTCATTTGCTGCTGCCTTCTTGGCCTCCTGCTATGCTCTGCATGTCTGGTATGGGCTTAATTCTATACTTTTTCTTCACCTCCTGTTTTGGTACCTGTGTCTACAAAAGCAGGGTATTGCTGTGAAACCCAGCAGAGATCAAAAGAATGGAGAAAAGGCATGACTTACAGGTACCTCCCAGTTCCCAACCCTTGGCCATTTCCAATACTGGACCTAGTGGCAGGAATTCAGTGAAGCCAAAGAGGCCTCTTAAGGAACTGTGGAAGCTCACTCAAAAGATTCATTTGGTGATGCCCCTGTTTGGTATGGACTGAAACCCAGTGTGGACCTGAAGCTGTTCCCCTCAGCTCACCTCTGGAGCTCACTGGAACTGAAGAGGCTAAGCATGCATGCTCGCCTTGTCCCTGCAGGTCTCACCTCCAGTGGCTTCCTGAGCAGTGGGCACAGCTCCTGTGTCTCATCCAGGGTGCATGTCTCAAGGGTGGCATAGCCCTGCACACAGTAGGCATCATACCCGGCCCCGATAAGCATGGAGCACAGCAGCATGCTGAAGTCAAAGCAGTTCCCTCGCTGGCGTTTCAGGGTGGTGGTTGGGGAATAGAGTGAAGTGGGCTTGAAAGAGAGAGATGCATGTCTGCAGTGCTTGTCTTGTGAAGCTGAAACACACACAAGGCAGAGAGCCAGAGAGATAAAAGGGCACTGCCCATATCCCTGGGCTCTGCACCCATAGAGAATCTGTTACATAAAATCCCTATGTATAAGCCACTGTGGAAAAATTATTGAAAGCATATTCAAAACATGAGTGGGATTAGGATAGAGAAAGTTTGGTTTTCCTCTTGGTGGGGACAGTCAGAGAAGAAATCCAAACAGGATGTAGAATGATCAATGATCTGCACACAAGAAAGCCTCTCAAATCACAGTGTCCAAAAGTATATCAGGCCCAAGAGCAAAGATAAGAAACTGTGTTCCTCCGAATGACTGAATTTTTGGTGTAACATCAACGTTGGTTAATTTGTTTTTTTTTTGTTTCTGTGGTTGCTTCTGGGCTCACTGTAGTGCAGGACTAACATTTCTGTCAAAATAGATATTGCCAAACCTGACCCAACTACGCCTGCTCCAACAACCATTTACCATGCAAGAGCAGCAACTGTCGTTATTAAATTGATGGATCAGTGAGACACCAAGGATGATTTCTTTACATGGAATAGCTTAGAGTCTGTTGTTTTGTTTAATTTAACTGACAAGAGAGAGCTTCAAAATCTTACCTGGTGCTGCTGGAGTACTGATGGTGCAATCACCATCCCTGGAAGTATTCACAAACTGTGTAGACAAGGCCCTTAGTGATATGGGTTAGTGGTGGCCTTGGCAGTGCTAGGGAATGGTTAGACTTGATGATCTTTAAGGTCTTTTCCAACCTTGTTGATTTAGAACCTCATGGTTCTAAAGGAAATTAGTAATCATCTATCAAACCACAAACAGCACCATAACACCTGTGTGACCCTAAGCACAGCACAGTGTAAGGGGACCTGCAAGGTAAGGGGTGCACAAAGGGACGCAGGCAGGCTGGTCAGACACAAGGGACACTGACAGGCTGACCAAATATAAAGGGTTCAAGGAAATTCCCCTTGTAATGTGACAGCCACAGACCCAGAAGTCCTCTCCAAAGTGATGTGGGGAAACTCTGACCCAAATCTGGTGACAAATTCAGCCATAGGGAGAGATGGGCAGGACAAGCTCATCCAACTGCTGAAAACCTAATGCTAACTACAACTCTGGAGCAGGGCTTAACTTCCACCTCTAGCTGGTCTATCTGCAGCGTTTTAAAGCAAAAGATCCATAAGCTAAATTCACACCAGCCAAGAACTTGCCCGAACTCTGGCATCATTCCTTCTTGCCAGTCTAGAAATCTCCTTTCAGACACCCCAAAATATCCCCAAAACAGGGATAGAAATGTCTAGAGCCCCTAAGAACAGGTCACTGAGGTCAAGCACCATCCCGTAGGCTTCATACACTCCTTTGTTCCAAGGTGCCTTGATCTTTGAGGGGAGGCTCATCACCACTGCAACCCACAGTGGACAGCTGGTCATATGGAATGACTGGGAGCAGGGGCAGGCCCCATCTTGTAGAAATGGTGCTTAACTCCTGGACAGGTACCACAGCACATGTGTACTGCGATTACAGGTCCAGAGTGTGCAGGGCCTGGGAAGATCAGTGGGTTGCCTAACTAATGAGGTCAGCAACCTTTGTAACCCAAGCCACTGGGGTTTCCACATTGTGTCCTGCTGAGAGGCCCCTCTGTCACCTCCATTATGGGGCTGTTTCTGATAGGACTGCAGCCCTTTTCTTACCAGAGTGATAGGGCACTCGAGGGGCTCCATGACAAGGTAATTGGAGATGAAGCTGGCACATCCATCCCAGGTGTACAGCTCTGTGTAAGGCAGTAGGGTTGGCCTCATCGTTGTGCTCACAAACTTCTGTAGGGCAACAAGAGGACTTCGTTTACCTAACAGATGCCTGGCAGAGTTTCCTGTACAAAGCGATCCTCAGAACACCCCTAGATGTGGCAGCTCACATTCAGGACCTCCCTACAGTGTATCAACAGCACCAGGAACCCTCCTCAGCCGTTCCAAGATGGAAAATGTACAGATTGAGAGGCCTTCTGCTTGTCTGTGCCTGAAGTTTCAAGCTCAGCCCAGAAAAATTACAGGTGCGAGCCAGTTCTGCTCTTAGTTTTCAAGCAAGACAAACAGCTACTGCCGTTTCCAGCTTTTTACATCATCCAGCATTTTTTGCCTAGCACATTGATCATAGAATCATAGAATGTTCTGAGTTGGAAGGATGCTTCAAGGTCATCCAGTTCCAGCCCCCTGCCATGGGCAGAGACACCTTCCACTAGAGCAGGTTGCTCCAAGCCCCATCCAAGCTGGCCTTGAACACTGCCAGAGATGGG